AAGGTTGCTACTTGCCACTCCACTGAGAGACCTATTGTAATTTAAAATTGCCCCGTGCACAGTTTTTCTGTTGCGTATTTCAAATCTAAATCCTACAGAGTAATTTGTTACTAGTGGAACCTCTCCCAGCGATCTCTGTAATTATCATTTCACTCAGGAAACCGGGTCAGAGCAAGAAGATGAGGAGATAGGATGAGGTGTGACTTTTTTTTGCTAGTTCATCATAAAATAGTGCAATACACCTCCATTATATATTTCCAAGGGTCAGTCCTTTTGAGTCAGCTCTGAAGAGGGAGCTTCCCAGCGCTGTTATGCCATCAAGGACAAGAGGATAGCGAGCGAGTAAGCTCGACAAAATAAGCAGTTTTAATTAAAGCTGGCAGATTTACTCGCCTAGCTGAAGCAGCCCAGGCCGATGGGGGGCAAAGTGGTGGTTCTTAAAGTGACTCATGCCAGGCAGGGGTAGGAGAGAGCTCAAGGTGGGCAGTCGCAGGCTTGTCTGTAATGAGGACAAATAGCTGAGAAGTTTGTCGTCTGACACAAGGTCTCGAGCAGGCCAGGGAAATATGCATAATGCAATACTTTAAGTTCCGGTGACATTTTGGCTGCACCATGTTATCTTAGCGAGAGAGATAGGGGGACGGAGTATGTGTGACCTAACAACTAAGGGAGGTCAAAGGTTAACATAACAGCAACTAAATAAAAGTCAAAGTTATGGCATTGTGTGACACTTTTTAGATGGTTTCGATAATCTGTGAATACATTAGTATTAAAAGTAATTCAAATGCTACATAGTTTAAATTCATGTGCAAAAAAAACACATTACTGATCCTTGGAAGGCGTAAAGCGGCTGATCTGCAGCATAATCAGCAGCTTATCATCTAATACTTCAGACTACATCAGACAATAAGCTGTAATATACCTCGCTGAGCTCAGTGAACATCTTCACACATGATCAGTGTCTGGATTATTGTATGATTTCTCACAAAATGTAATATGATACTTGTTACTTCCCATTGGATTAAACTGATCTGACTGTATCATTAACTGACAGTTACCTCTCAAATTTGGCAATTACCTGTGTGTGCCAGTGCACTTCTGTGTGAACAATCAGGGTAACAACAATAATTAGAATGGCACTCAGGTGAGAGCACAAACCCCTGCCAAGGCCCAACAGTCTTTTTGTGAAACCACATTTAATTTCACTAGACCTGGATTTGTATTTGGTTCTATAGTAAATTACACACACTTATAAATATCAGTCCCCCAAACATGCCGGACCGTCAGTCTGAGCTGTCAATCATGATATTTCAACAAATTTTTATATTGTCTAAGAAGTAACCAAATATTTGCATCAGTACCTACAATTACCACAAATGACAGAAACCATTTTAGGGAAAAATGTGTTTGTCGTGTATTTTGACTTTGTAGTTTGGTCCATGTCCCACACATTTACATGGAAAAGGCAGGGTTTATGACATGTACTGCAGGCCACCACTAGGGGGCAATCAGGATGATGTGGGGGGCTGTCATGTCGTCCATCTTTATATGCAGTCTATGATCTGAGCCTGTACGAGTACAGAGATCTCACCGTGCTTTTTTTCCTTGCAGTTCTTGTTAAATGTTATATTTGTTAATGTGGAGGCTGTGGCTGAGGGGATAGAGCGGGTGGTCCTCTAGACAGAAGGCTGGTGGTTCGTAGATTCCAGTCTTATCCATTTTGCATGCCTTGGGCAAGATATTGAACCCTGGATTACCCCTGACGGCTGTGTCAGCACAGTATGCAGTATACACATGTACTGTGTGAATGGCAAAAAACTGCACATATAAATGCAGACCATTTACCATTACCTATCTTTGGTTGGAGCCCAGAGCATCTTTTTCTCTCATATTTTGCGTCATGATTTCTTATTTGTGTAAATTACCTAAACTACGTGAAAATAAATAACTGTATGTAACCACACACATAGTTTTATGTTTCTTCCCCCACGCCCAGACAAGAGGTAACAATCTGGGTGAGCTTCGCAGCGATCCTGGCAGCTATCAAACACACAGAGTACATGTGTAAAGTGTATAAAGTGTGTTCTGTGCAGCAGCAGCTGTCTGACTCCCAGTGCCAGATTTTAATGATTGTGGGGAGCCAAATGAGGCCTGTGTTATGGTTCTCAGTGCAGACGTGTCACTGTGGTCGTTCTGTTTTCAGGAATCTGCAAAGATGGTGTGAAAATCAACTCGCCATCTTTTTCTTTTTGATTATTGTCTTTGTCTCACCTCCCACTCTCCTGTGCTTATCTCTCTCTTGCTCTGTCACTTCCTCCACCAAGCTGGTGGATTTTCCCTGCAATGAATGACATGATGAATTGAAAGCTGTAAAAATAAGAATCCCCCCAAGCACACACTTATGCACACACACACACACACACACACACACACACTTATACACACACACAGACATGCAGACCACCTCACTCGCTCACCAATTGCACCGTCTGCTGTGACAGCAGATGTGACTAAAAGCATGTCAGCACTGTCAGATCTTCCCTCTCTTTCTCTGTATGTAATGGAATTTATAATTTATTATCACCATCTGTAAATTCTTGTATTTATGGCTCCGTCTCTCCATTCAAAGGCTGTTCTTGATCTTCAAATGCGAGAGACAGGATCAAACTGATTTGCAGGGCACCGTACCATCTTAAAAGCAGGAAAACAATAGACAGGCCTCCCCATCTCTTCTCTTCTTTTTTCTCCATCCATTTCTCCCCTCTCCCCCATTTTTCTCCACTCACCCCAACCAGCGGAGGCAGATGGCTGCATGGAGTCTGGTTCTGCTGGAAATTTCTTTCTAGTAAAAAAAGGAGATGTTTGTCTCCACAGTTGCCAAAGTTGTTGTTGGAATCTATAGTATTGTAAGGTCTCGTCTTTTCTATTTAAGGATAGTTGTATGTTGTGATTCGGTGTTATAAAAATAAAACTGATTTGATCTTAGTTTGATAAATACTTCGAAAAAAACTGTAAAATCTTAATTTCATGACCTTCATAATTCACTATCTAACCATGCAAAGGTGTCGGTTCTGAGTAAGAATATCAGAAGATACATAGGAAAACAAGATTGTCCAGTGTGTTACTGGTTGATATTGCCATGACGATACATTTTTGATATATTGTGCAGCCCTAGTGTCTTACTGGTTGGAGCTTCTTTCTCAATACATTATTTCATCACGACAGTAAAATCTGAAGTTCAGTTTTTATATGTTTTTTTTTTCTCCTTTCTCTTCTTTTGGTTGCAGTGGTTAACTCGCCTGAAGCTTTTTCAAAACTCTGGGTTTCAGTGGATTTCAGTTTCAGGTCCATGTGCTGCTCAAGATATCAGAGAGTATCACTCTTGTGAATCTTCAACCGTCACCTTCACATATTGGTGTTAANACTTCACAATTTGGACAGACTCTGTGGATTCATGCCTCTGACTGATTTGGTTGTTGTCTCATTATCCGAAGGCTCATTCTCAGCAGATTAAACTGGCTGACTTTGTAAACCGTCAGAATGTCAGCTGTCACTCAACCTGCTCTCTTACTGCCGCAAAAACTGAATGTACTTTTTAGAAGCAATCAGAGACTGTGTCCTCAACTTTGGCTTCTTTTCAGCGTTCTAAGTTTTATTTTTTCTCGGATATATTCGCCTACCCATCTTCTGGGGAGACTTTTGCGCCGGGTAAATCAGATGTGCTCAATATGGAGCTCCCTCTGTGCCGCCTTGATATTCTTTGTTTTCTAATCTAGAGTCGGTCATCTGGCACAGACATGAGCTAAAATCTATCCCATCTCTCTGACCGAGATGTTGAATTAGTGTATTTGTTTATATTTGTTTTAATGTGAAATCAAACATTCCTAAAGCCCCACAGAGTGTAGAGGATGTGGTCTCTCTCTCTCTCTCTCTCTCTCTCTCTCTCTCTCTCTCTGTGTCCTTGTGAATATTCATTTCACTTGCAGCTTGTTTGTGTGTGTTTGCTTCTACAGCTGAGTTTTTACATTTGAAAATAGATAAATGTTTAATTCAGAAGTCTGATGCTGTAAACACACTGGGGCAAAAAATACATTTATAAACACATAAATTACTAACATCTAACATTAAAACTGAATACTGGATCTCAATTTGAGGAGCTTGAACTTGACCAGAGACTTATTGTTAAATCCAAGTGCTGCAACAATATGGCAGCCTAATTAGGATGATGAGAGAAGCTCATAAGACAAGTGTCTTATGTAACAGGAAAGGTCATGTTCTGTTATCTAGATCACACACACACACACACACACACCATAACTACATTCTTTGCCACTATCAAGAGTGTGTATCAAATGCTGACCCATGTCTCAAGTGTAAAATGAGCTTCATTTCTGCGTCCTTCCAAAGCATTATGAATGCTAATTATCTCAGGTGCATTGCACATTAACAAAAAAATTTTAATTAAGAGGGATAAAAATGCACAGGATGTTTAGTTAGCAATGTAAAATAGGTTTCAAATTGATCATCATGCCCAACTTTTTCTTAATTGCTCTTACAGAGCGTCTTAATTAATACAAAATATAGTGAGTAAGATTATTTGAATGGAACAGATGCCGCTACTGCAACTTTATAATTGCCTGACTTGACATAAAGTCCACCAGAGATGAGTCACTGGGGCAGAACATTGCAACATAAAGTCAAGACTACATGATTTAATCAGTCTATTTTAAATGTTGTATTTAATACATCTTTTCCAAATGCAAAATAGTTTGTGCTCAATAAATTGTAAGTTTTGTTTTTGTGCAGTTTCATTCAGTAGGGGTATTGGTTAATAAAATATACTGAAGCCCCCTGTGATTAATATGCACAGTATTTCCTCTGTATTTTAGGCACTTCCTACCTTATTAATCACTTTTATGAGAAATGTATTGTGCTTTGATTCGTTCTAAGCAGGAACAAAAGACTGAACCATCTCCCGCCTCTTTCCTCTCTGTTCACAGCTGCTGCCCAGACAACCAAGACAAACAGGATCGGCTGTGGTTGGTGCTCTCAAGGTAAGCTGCAATTTCACATGCAGGCTTCAGCATACGATTATCTTGTTCCTATAGCTTTGTGAGGACCGGTTTGACCACTAGACCTTATGAGGTCAGGACATTTTTGCTGGTAACTTGAGCTGATTAATATACTCTATTATAAAGATGGACAATGCATCTCACCTACTCCCAGTATTGAGAAATTAAGCCAAAATAACCAAGACAAAACATCGCCCTCATGCACATTTGGAGTGGGAATGTGTGTGGTAAGGATTGGGCCTGGGGCAGCAGTCACAAGGTTGTGCAGATACACTTGCTCCACCAATCACAAGTCAGTCTAAGGTGTCAATAATGTTGTCTCTTATTTGTCTAGCATCAAATA